CCCGGCGCCTACACACACACACACACCCAGAACATGGGCAACGAGGAGCGGGAAATAGGGGGAGTGAGCATGTTCAGGCCCCCTTCTTGCCGGAAGTGGAAACCACTTTTTACTATTATTATTGGTACCAAGGTATGCGAAATTTAAATCATATCAATATTCAACATAATAATAATTACAATTGCACAAGAAATGGCGTTAGTGCTAACTGGTTCTACTACCAGCCCTTTGTGGTCCATTGTCACCCATACCACAGAAATGATCTTAATATTCTCCCAGAGCCCTGTAAGGTAAGTAGCATCACCCTCAGCCACTCCGAATCACCCTCTCAGAAAACTGAGGCTCAGAGAGGCCAGGTGACTTACCTAAGGTCACACAGCAAGGACTGGAACTTGGGTGTGTCTGGGTCCAGAGCCTCACTCTCAGCATGGTTCTCGTCTTCATACTGTGCCCTTCCAGCCCTGGCCCTGGCCCTGCGGGGTCCAACACATACCCTGAAGGCTAATCCGTACCCCAGAGTCACGCCGCACACTGGGTGGTGATGCTGACCTGCCTCAGAGGGAGCAAACAGGTGACCCTTGGAAGTCTCACCAGTCGGGAGTCTGGGTTACTAATAGCTCCAGCCTTGGGTTTTTAAGGACCTGACTTGCTGTGTACTTTGGAAAGTTAGCCTGGGCCTCAGTTTCTTTTCCTCTAAGGTGAGGACAGATTGACAGCCCTTGGAGCCTCAGCAGTGTCCCCATCAGCACAAGGCGGGCCCCCTTTCCCTCACCCCCTCACTCCCTGAACTGCTTCTGGGTCATCACCAACCTGGCTTCGTCCTCGCAGGGTGGCTGGCAGCCTGGGGAGGCCGGACGGAGGCTGCAGGCTGGGGGTCGGGTCCTTGGCGGTGAGGCTGATGCTGAGACACCCTGACAATGTGGCCTGCGCTGCTGGAGCCAGGCGAGCGTGGGGTGCCAGCCTCACTCTCAAATGACCAAGATCGGAGCTAGAGGCCAGGCTACTTCTCCCCCAGCTCACTTGGCCCCACCCTGTGAATAATGCCATTTGCCTCGCGCAGCTAGGCCTCACCAGGCTTTGATGATTTGGGGGGTGGTATGAATGGGTGGAAGACAAGAAAGGATTAAAGACCCAGACACCTAGGCTTAGCCTAAGAGCACAGAAATGGTTACATTGCTGGAGGAGGTGCCTTTCTAATCCACCCTGTGTCCCCCAGCCTCCCAGGTCTCCAAACCCATCCATGACTCTCAGGACCCTCCTCCAGGCCCTGGGGCCAGGGCAGGGCTCCTTGCCAACCCTACCCCAACCACAACAATAATTAACCCCAGCGAACCCCAGCAAATAAAGATCTGAATCACAGAAGGGAGGAGTTATCGCTGTCCAAGGGTGGGGAACTCTGGAGGTCCCAGGAAGGCCAAACCAGCATCATCTGACACCCCACTCCCAACACTGTTTTTGCCTTGAGTAGGTCCATGGATACCCAGTCCACTGGGGCCTGGGAGGATGACTCACCTCTCTTGGGTTTGGACCGGAGTCTTTTCCACCATCCAATTAAAAAACAAACAAACATTTCATCTCTTCCTTCCATTTGCTTGAGCCTGTTTTCCTAATCTTTGTATGAATTCCTCTATTCATTTATTCAACAAATGTTTACTGAGCAGCTACTATGTACCATGCTCTGTGGGAGGCCCCAGGGAAGCAGAGTGGTCCAGAGACTAGGAAGGAACTGTCTCTCTGCCAAGCCCCATCCCCTTCTCCTTTGGGCAGCCTGTTTCGACCGCACTCATCTGTCTGTCAGCTGGTAATTACCGAGCACTGACTGGGCACAAGTCACCGGGCTGGGCGTGATGCATATGTGAGTTTGTGTTGGGGGGGCGGGCAGTTCGGAAGTTACAGAGGAGGTTCAGGAAAACATAAGGAGGTGTGTGCAGGGTCAGTAACTTCAGGAAGCTCACAGTGCAGTTGGCTATGCGGCAGATACAGCTATACAGGCATTTATATTACGTCCTCTTCCTGTGCACACAGGAAGTCTGCAATTCCAAGCCAGCCTGTGGTTAGCTGGGACCAGGTGCTTGTATCCTGGCCAATGGGATGAGGATGCCAGCGACATGCACCACTTCCAGACCTGGAGCTAAAGCTACCTTTCCGTGCTGTTTCTTCCATTCCCGTGGCAATCATGGTGACCTGTGTTGGACATGGAGACATCACAAGAGGCATGGTGACCTGTGTTGGACATGGAAACTTCACACGAGGGAAGGACCCTGAATTCCCAAATCACCAGTTGGAGGCCCACAGTGGATTGTGACATGAGCAAGAAATAAACCTGTATTGTGTTTAGCCACTGAGACTTTGGGGTTGTTTGTTACAACAGCTCGTGTTACTTATCCTGACTAATACAGGCAGATGACGCAGCACACTGAATCCTGTGGCTAGATTGCAGTGTGCAAGAGGGATCATTGCCAGGCAGTGCATGAGCACTGATGTCCAATGCCAGCTGGTAGCTGAGGTCAGAGGAAAGGAGAGACACAGGAGGTGCCGGCATACAGTAGGGGCTCAATAAAATAGGTTGAATGAGTGTAATGCGTGAGAACATTGGAAAAGCTTTGTAGGAGGCTGAGGTCACCAGAGCTTCAGAGGATGGGTGGAGTTTGGAAGCAATTACCCTGGGAATAAAGTCAGGGAAGTGAGAAGGGCAACACCTGAGCAGGGGTCAGAGACAGTGAACAGTCACTCTGCCCCAAGAGGAGAGTAGAGATGGAGCTAGAACTTGGAGGCCCTCAAAGGCCAAGCTGAGCAATTTAGACCTTAGGCTATGAGTCAGTGGTCGGCAAAGTGAGGATATGCACAATAATCTATTGGGGTACAGGAAGAAAGTATTAAAACTCTTTTAAATCTCTGTTTTTAGTGCACATGAAGATACTAAGGCTCAGAGAGGTTGAGTAATTCACCCAAGGTCACATAGCCAGTAAGCATTCTGGACTCCAAAACTGTGCTCTTTACATATGCTGAGTCTTTTTTTTTTTTTTTAATCCTGACCCAAGGACATTTTTGCATTTATCTTCAGATAGAGCGGGAGGGAGAGAGGGAGGAAGAGAGAGAGAGAGAAACATCAATGTGAGAAAGATACATTGACTGGTTGTCGCCCACATGACCCCAACCCCAACCGGGGCCGGGGACAAACTGCAACCGAGGCACATACCCTTAGTGGAAACCGAACCCGAGACTCTCTGGTCCGTGGGCCGGCGTCTAACCGGTGAGCCAAACCGGCCAGGGCACTAATGCTGAGTCAGTCGTATGCAGATAGGTGAGGGGTTGAGTAGGAGCAGAGGCAGGTCTAGGGGAGGGTAGCTGGGAGGAAGAGACAGCTCTCAACCCTGGCTGTCTCTGCCTTAGCTGCAGGCAGAGGGGAAGGAGCCTGCCCAGGCCTGACCCCCAGGACGTGTTGTGAGATGCCAAGCAGAGAGTATGGGTGGGTGCCAGCCTGCCTGGCCGACCACCCAGAGATTTCCATTCCAGCCTTTATCCTCACAATTCATTCTTACCTTTGTGAGCAGGGTCCTGGGAGCAGAGAAGGGGAGCCCCAGGGGCTGGATGGAGGTCAGGATGGGAAGAGTTTGGTAAACCAGGAGCTCTGCCACCCCACACACTCCATGGCCAACCCCATGGCCAAGGGAACCTAGATGCCAGCCCCACTCTGCTTTCCTAGACTTCACTGCACTGGGTTGATGGGTGACACCTACCTTCTGCTTTACACCTCTAAGAAAATGATTTCCAATTAAAAAAATGAAGCAAATGTTTTAATTAAAATGTAACAAACAGCCCTGGCCGGTTTGGCTCAGCAGTTGGAGTGTCCGCCTGCGGTCCGGAGAGACCCGGGTTCGGTTCCCGCTAAAGGCATGTACCTCGGTTGCAGTTTGTCCCCGGCCCTGGTTGGTTGTGCGGGTGGCAGCCACTCGATGTGTCCCTTTCACATCGATGTTTCCCCCTCTCTCTCTTCCTCTCTCTCCCTCCCACTCTATCTGTACAAAAAAATGGAAAAATGTCCTCGAGTGAGGATAAAAAAAAAATAAGTAAAAAAAAAAAAAATGTAACAAACACAGAAAAATGCATATATCATTGCAGCATATAAAAGAATACATTTTTACAAACCGAATACATTTAAGGGTAACTAAGACCTGGCCGGTTTGGCTCAGTGGTTGGAGCGTCAGCCTGCGGACCAGAGTCCCGGGTTGGGTTTCCACTAGGCCCTAGCGGCTAGGGGCAGGTACCAAAAAAAAAAAAAAAGGTAACTAACACCCAGATCAAGGAACAAAACATTTCCCAGCGGTCAGAAACCCCTCCCAGTAACTACCCCTAATCAGAGGGCATCCAAATTCCACATTTGATTTATCTATTCTACTAGGCGGGGACATTTGCGTTGTCCCAGTCTGTGCTAGGACTGCTCTTGTACACACCTAGGGCAAGCACGCGCTCAGCGTTAACAGGGCTCGTTCCCTTTCACAGAACGTTCGCCCGCAGCTTTGTTTCTGCTTTCACCGGCCTTACCGAGGCACAGTTAACTGTAATCACAGTCACCGTGCGCGTGCAGGTCGGTGACTTCGGACCAATGTGTTCTCCACCACAGTCAGGACACAGAATGTTTCCGTCCTCCCAGAGAGTTTCCTTGCGACCCTTTGCAGTGAAGGGCCCCCCCCAGCCTCCCGGGCACCTGCGGGTTCGCTGTCTATCCCTGCACGGGCCGCCCGCTCGGACATTCCCGCAGCGGGAATCGGGCAGCAGGAGCTGCTCGTCCGGCCTCGCCCCCTCCGCAGGGCCGGGCGGCTCTCGCTCCGGGGTCTCCGCGCCCCGCGCGTGTCTGCCGGCTCCTCTCGCGGCTCTGCGGTTCCGGCCCGGAGCGAACCATCGCAGTCGGGGCGTGTGCCTGCGCGTGACTCCGCCCCGCCCCGCCCCCGCGCCGCGCCGCCGGGCGCCGCAGACACTCGGTGTCTTCCCCGCCGTCGGAGCCCATGGAGCCCGCGCGGGAAGGGCCCCCAGGCAGCGGCGGGGCTGAGGCGCTGCTGGGCGAGCTGGAGGCGCGGGTCCGGGACGTGGTGAGGGCGAGCTCGTGGTGGGAGCGCCACGGCGTGGACTGCGCCATCCTCGCGCTCAGCCTCCTCGCCTTGCCTCCGGGTGAGGGACAGGGGACAGTGCGACAAGGGCGGGGTGGGGGTGGGGGTGCGGCGGAGGGAATGAAGAGGACCGAGATGGAGTTGGGGAGAGGCCGCGTGCCGGGGACCCCAGGGTGGAGAGTCACACCCCAAACCTGAGTCTGTTTGGAGTGTCCTGCCCGATGTCCCCAGAGGACCCGAGTGCTGGAGGAGGGAAGGCCTGGGGTTCAGGGCAGAGGTCGGGAAACCTGGGAGGGGTTGGAGGCTAGCAGGTGTAAGGTGGTCTCGGGAGGAGGAGAATGTTCTGTGGGAACACCAGGGACAGCGCGGGGAGGGAGGGTGGGTGCTTCCCTGGACCTCTCCTGGCATGGACCCCCACCACTGCTCTGTCTGGGACCCACAATCAAAACTCCTAGACTCTCCTTGAAGTCAGTGGGGCTCTGTTTTATCCCCAAATCCTGTAGAGAGAGATCCAACCCACCCCCTCAGGCCACAGTGGGCCCCGTCTCGCTGCTGCCCGTGGCAGCCCCCAGGGCTGGGTCCACTTTGGTCTGGGCCTGCACGGGTGGGGACCGGGTGTTTGGGACCAGATCTGCCAAAGCTGAGAAACACCCTGCACCCTCCCCTCGCAGGGTTCCTGTGCCTGCGCTCTGACAGTACCCTGGTCTTTGGCCTGGGCATCGCCATCCTGGGTGTGTGCCATTACACGCTCACTGTCAAGGGCAGCCACCTGGCCACTCATGGTGCCCTCACCGAGTCCAAACGCTGGAGCACGATCTGGACACATTTCTTTGTGGAGGTGAGCCTGGGGGAGGGGGAGGCAGCTGCTGGTACCCCGTGGGCAACCCCACTGCTCTGTGCCAGCATGCAGGTGTGTACAGCTGTGTGTGCCCACAGGGCAAGGTGGCTGCAGTTCTTGGGACATGGATTCAAGTGTGGGACATGTACTACAGTGTGTGTGTGCCTTGAGGGAGGTGGCACCCGTGGACAGAGAACAGCATGAGGGATGTGCGTGCATCTGCCTATGGAGTGGACTTGGCCTGGGCACCTGCCCCCCAGGAGCATGCACTCACCTCTGCAGCAGTAGCCCAAGTGGTGACAGAGCTCCCTCCTCCTGCCAAGACACCCGGGGCTGGCAGGCCTCAGCTGCAACCTTTGGAGCCTCCTGGTTTACAATCAGGGTTTCACGTGTGAGCCATGGCCAGAAGGGGACAGGGAGCAGGTGCCTGGTGTTGCAATGTCCCAGCTCCTCTTCCTGCTCCCCCAGGTCTGTTCCAGGAAGGACCCTCCTCTCTCCTGACCCTGTGCCCCCTTCTTCCATTCCTCCCCATCCTGTCTGTCTTCTCACCCACGGGCAAGGCCAGGGAGGCAAAGGTGTCTGGCCAGGTTGCCCTTCTCTCTGGACTGGTCTCCGGCCTCTCTGGTTCCTCTGGGGAGAACTGGCTCTCTCCCTTCCAGGCGGACCCTCGCCTGGCCAGCCAGGCAGGGGACAGTGCAGGGCACTGCTCGGCTGGACTCCGAGCCCCACTGGCTGCCTGACCTTGGGCATGTTATTGAATTTAGCTGCTAAGTGTTAGCGTCCTCCTCTAATAAACAGGAATGACCCTGAGGCCCCCACGAAGCCAGTGTGAGGATTCCTAGGGCCTGGGGCTGGCTCTCCCACACCGCCAAGTGGCAGCCCCGCTCTTCTCCCGGGAGGGAACACGCAGTCCAGCGGCAAGGAAAGGGCCAGCGCTTTCTGTTGTTTGTGTAAACATTCTTTTTCCCTTTATCAATTTTAGAGAGAGATGAAGAGAGAGGGAGAAAGAAACATCGATGAGAGAGAACACTGATTGGCCGCCTCCTGCACGCCCCCCACTGGGGACCGGGCCCACAACCTGGGCATGTGCCCTGACCGGGAATCAAACTGGCGACCTCTTGGTGCAGGGTCGACGCTCAACCACTGAGCCACACCGGCCGGGCCATGTGTTGTTTGTTTTTAACAGAAAGGTTGATGCAGTTATGCAGGGCGGACAGAAGTGTGTGTGTGTGTGTGTGTGTGTGTGTGTGCACGCGCGCATGCGCAGGAGGCTGTCTGCTGGGGCTGGCACCCACCGCCGGTTCTCTGCATTGCACAGAGGACAAGCTCTTGCTGCACAGGACCCTCCTGGACCCGACTCCACTTCTCCCAAATCCTGCTGTCACCTGTTCTTGAGGGGAGCCTGTGCTCTTCCCAAGCCTTGACTCTCACGAGACGCCGTCATGATAGAATAATCTGGTCCTGCAGACCGCAGCCTTAGGTGTCAACTGCGTACCGCTGGCTTTCCTGGGGCACCCAGCTCGTCTCAGAGTCTGCTGGCTCCAGCTGGGGGCGGACTAGGATGGCAACCTCTGACCCCTGGATCTGGGGGGAGGGGCAAACAGGATGGAGGGGCAGTGACACTCCAGGTTGTGGTGGTTTCTTCACTCAAGTGTCCAAATCATCCACCCCCCACACACCAGCATAAACCTCCCTCTGAAGACCCCCTTCTAGTCTACACGAGAATGTTCCAGTCCTCCTGCTCGGGCACCTCTGACCTTCTCTCCAGCCCACTGATAACCCTGGCCCTCCTTGTCCTGGGTGTCGTCACAAGCACATTCTTGGGGAATGCCAGTGACGGCCACAGGAAGGTGGGGGCGAGGTGGGCAGGGCCACCGTGGTTTGAGTACTGAAGCTTGGGAAGATGAACTCTTGAAGTCCGAGGGCCGAGGGACTTCCCTGCATGTCACTCACAAGTCAGATGCTCCCCAGAGCAGGGAACAGGCTGTGCCAGTTACCAACTTCTATTGTGTCCCAACTTCGGGGTGAGTCACAGGCGGTCCAATGGGAGCACAGGCTGGCTCTGCCCCCAGGAGAGAGTGTCACCCAGGGGAATGCCCCCACCTTCTTTCAAGTCCTTTGTGTTGGTAGAAACAGAGCCAAGAACCCCAGCCTGGTCATAATTCTTGAATGTTCTCTTCACACCAGTTCAGTGTGGCTTTTACCCTCAGGGCTGTCTCCCTGCCCTTCTCCCTGCATGTCTCCATCTGAGCCCCGAGGGCGTTCGACTGTGTGGGCCAAAAAACGGGGATAGCCCTGGCCAGTTTGGCTCAGTGGTTGGAGCATCGGCTTGCGGTCCAGAGAGACCCAGGTTCGGTTCCCGCTAAGGGCGCGTACCTTGGTTGCAGTTTGTCCCTGTCCCTGGTTGGTTGTCGTGCAGGTGGCAGCCACTCCGTGTGTCCCTTTCACATCGATGTTTCTCTCTCTCTCCCTCCCTCCCACTCTATCTGAACAAAAAATGGAAAAATGTCCTCGGGTAAGGATAAAAAAAAAAATGAGGATATTTTTCCATTTATCTTCAGACAGTGGGAGGGAGGGAGGGAGAGAGGGAGGAGGAGGAGGAGGAGAGAGAGAAAAAAACATGGATGTGAGAGAGAAACAATTGGCTGCCTCCCACACAATCCCGGACCGGGGCCGGACCGAACCACAACTGAGGTACGAGGTACATGCCCTTGACCGGAATAGAACCCGAGACACTTCAGTCCGCAGGCTGATGCTCTAACTGCTGAGCCAAACCAGACAGGGCGATAGTTATTTATTTATTTAAAAAACTAATTTAGAGGGCGAACTCAGATCTGTAGTCTTTTGTAAAAAAAAAAAAAAAAAAAAAAAATTATTTTTGAAACACAGATTCACAGGATGTTGCAAAAATAGGATAGAGAAGTCGGGGAGCCCTTTACCAGGCCCCCATCATTGCATTTCTGTAAGTGCCGTTGGGGCAGAAGCAGGGGACTGATGTGGGCGAAGGGTGTGCCCACACATGAGGTTCTGTGCCGTCCTCACACGTGTAGGTTCCCACAGTACTGTCAAGCAGCCCCCCACCCCCCACCGCAGATTCGGTGTGGCTTCCTCAAGGACAAGCTGAGCCCCGCTCCTGGGGGCTGTGAAGCCCGGCTCCTGGGGGCGGCTCCTGGGGGCGGGGACCCTGGTAGCGTGCACGTGGCCCTAGAGCAGGCCGGGCAGGGCCTGGGAAGGGCTGCCATCTGATGAGCCCTTGGGGGAGGGGCCGGAGAGGAGAAGGTGGGCGGGGCTGCCCGGCAGATTGGGTGGGGGCTTTGGGGGCGGAGCGGTGCACTGAACATCACCAAGCTTCTGCCCTCCACGGGTGCTGGGGGCACAACCTGAAAAGGACACGCTTCCGGTTCCCCAGGGGCTCACAGTCCAGCGGGAAACAGATACACAAATGTCATCAGAAGGATAAAAGTCCTAATTATACCAACTGACACTTAGTGGCTGTTTCCTGTGTACTTGACACGGGTTGTCTCACTCCACAGTCAGCCTCTGCGCCTCTCTCAGCTCCCTCCGCAGACGGGAGAACCCTGGTCCGGGACGTTAAGCCACTGGCCCAGGGCCGCTCAGCTGGTACGTGGCGGGGCCGGGAGTCGGGCAGGCAGAAACCGATGGTGCCATCAGCCAGGTGTGTGGGCACAGCGAGGGGAGAGCGGGGCAGGGGCACTGGCGATGTCCACAGACGTTTTTGACTAACACGACGGGTGTGTGTGTGTTACTGTGTTACTGGCGTCTAGTAGGTAGAGACCAGGGATACTGCTACACATCCTACAATGCACAGGACAGGTCCTCAGAACATAGACTAACCCTGCCCAAATGTCAAGAGTGCCAAGGCTGCCCTGGCGGCGGGTTCAGCTGGTTGGGCGTCGTCCCCTGTACTGAGAGGTCACTGGTTCCATTCCCCGCCAGGGCACATGCCCAGGTGGGCTTGATCCCCAGTAGGGGGTGTGCAGGAAGCAACAGATTTGATGTTTCTCTCTCACATCAATGTTTTTTCTCTCTTTCCCTCTCCCTCCCTCTTTCTCTCAAAATCAATTAAAAAAAAAAAGAGTGCGGGGCTGAGAACCCTTGGGGAGAGTGTGGAGGAGATGCTGCCGGACAGAGCTGGCCGGAGCAGGAAGGTGGTTTCAGATGGAGCAGACACACAGACAAAGGCACAGACTCGGGAAACAGCATAATGCATGAGGGATCCCCAGAAATCTGGGGCCACGAGAATCTAATGGGGACCCTGGAGAGAGGGGGGCAAGGAGGCCTGTGTGCCAAGCAGAGGAGCTGAGAGGTTACTGGGGACACGGCCTGAAAGGGGAGAGAATGTTCTTCGAGCTGCTGACGGGCTCAGCACTGACCGCATCCAGCCCGCTCACGCCAGGACAAGGCCCGCAAGGGCTCCTCTGGGTCCCGCCCTCACCGCTGTCCCTCCCTTATCCAAAGGGGAGGAAGAAGACCTGTCACTGCAGACTTTTTTTTTTTTAATCCTCACCTGAGGACATTTTTCCATTTTTTTGTTCAGACAGAGTGGGAGGGGAGAGAGAGGAAGAGAGAGAGAGAGAGAGAAACATCGACGTGAAAGGGACACATTGAGTGGCTGCCACCCGCATGACCAACCAAGGCCGGGGACAAACTGCAACCGAGGTACGTGCCCTCAGCGGGAACCGAACCCGGGTCTCTCTGGACCGCAGGCCGACGCTCTCACCGCTGAGCCAAACTGGCCAGGGCTCACTGCACACTTTTTGAATTCTGAATTATGTAAACACGCTACCTATTCAAAAAACAAATGAGACAACTACTCCCTTTGGCCAGCGCTGGAGGTCTGAGGATGCTTGAGCAGACAAGCTGAGCACAGACGTCCCCCCACTGACAGAGCCTGCCCAAGCCTGAGCACTCGCCCAGGAGCTCCACTCTCGCGGGGACGCCCAGTTAAACCTGCACTTCAGATAAACGACGAAAGCAGGTAGTACTTGGAGTATATGGCTACCAAACGTGATTGGTTCTTTATCTGAAATTCGATTGTATCTGGGCATCCTATACTTTGTCTGACAAACCCATTGCCACGGCCTGTGGAGCCCCAGGAGTCCCCACCACTCTGAAGCCAGCATGATGGGGCTGCCAGCCCCTGGCAAGGTGGAAGGAGCTGGAGGGAGGAATGGGAGCTGGGCAGACTCCAGCCCAGAGTCTCTCCTGCCTGCGGGCGCTGCGCCCGGATGGCCCACAGCCCCTCTCATCCTGTCCACGCCTGCTGCCCTCCATTTCCGTGTCCGTCTGTGGAGTGGCCCCACCATTCCCCTGGCTCTAAGCTGGAAACATGGCCTTGTCCTTGATTTCTCCTCCTCCCAGTCCCCACCTTTCCCCCAGATCCTGACTCCAGGCCTGCCTTCTCCACCTTCGCCTTTCCCAGACCAATGGCATCTGGCCCATCACCTGCCTCATCCTGTCCCTCCCCTTCCAATCTCATAGAGTGACCTATTTAACATCCAACTTCAGCTGTGTCACAATTTTATAATGATGTCTTTTAATCCTGCAAAGCATTCTTTAAGAAATAAAATAAAAGGAAAATATTAGGGGACACATAAGAGATTGAGAGCCCCCTTACCTCCCAGGGCAGCTAGGGGCTAGGGGAGGAACACCTGTCACTACTCATTTTGAATTCTGAATTACATAAACATATGACTCATTCAAAAAATAGATCAGACTCCTTAGACAACAACCTTTGGCCAGCGGCACAGGTCCAAGGACACTGTGGTGAACTAACAACTGAGTGAGTGAATGAATGAATGAGGGATCTGAGACCGCCATGTTTAGCTGATAGATGTCAAGAGGAACTACACCGACATCTGCCCCTTGCAGTCTGGCTACTTGCGGAGACTGGGTGATGCTAGGAGACTGAAGTCTTACCGAGGGGCACACAGGGTGGTGATACCAAGAAGCAGCACCGACCTTGAGGCTTCCGGAACGTTCTCTGGGTCTGGATGTGGACTCATCAGTGAGACCTTTAATCCTCTGCAGCAGGACAGTCCATTCTCCAGCTACCTTCGCAGCACACGGCCCCTTCCCACTGCCCTTTGGTTGATGGGTGTGCACGCACATGGACACGCTGTTGTCTGAGTACACTCTCCGCTTCTCGCCTAAATCCGCCTCTTTCTCTTCTTCTCCAGAAAGAACATCTAGATGGGAGTGAGAATTCCAGTGTTACAGAAACAGCCTCAAATCTGTTCTTATTTGTGCAAAAAGGCAAATCGTACACACTGAGTCACAAATCACGTTCTGTACTGAACAGATAGCTATTCCCCGCTGCGTCCTCGGGTCTGGACGCGTGGCTGCGAACCTGAATGAGAGCCCACCAGGCCCTCTAGCTCATCCACACCGTTGTAAGATTTCATTCTTGTTTATGGTGGAGTCATATCCCATTAAATATACGCACCACTTCTTCTTCACCCATTCATCTTTTGATGGGCATTTAGGCTGCTTCCATATCTTGGCTGTTATAAATAACGCTTCAATGAAATAGGGGTGCATGTATTTTTCAAATTAGTGTTTTTGTTTTCTTTGGATAAATACCCAGAAGTAGAATTGCCGGATCACATGGTAACTCTATTTTTAATTTTTGCGGCATCTCCATACTGTTTTCCACAGTGGCTGCACCTCTGCATTCCCACCAGCGGGCACGAGGACTCCCTTTCTCCACAGCCTCGCCAGTGCTTGCTGTTGGTTGATTTACTCATGACTCAGCTGACGCTGCTTCTTCTTCTTTTTTTTAATCATCACCCAGGGACATTTTTTTTCCATTTTTTGTTCAGATAGAGCAGGAGGGAGAGAGAGGAAGAGAGAGAAACATCGACATGAAAGGGACATATCGAGTGGCTGCCACCCGCATGACCAACCAGGGCCGGGGACAAACTGCAACCGAGGCACACACCCTTAGTGGGAACCAAACCCAGGTCTCTCTGGACCGCAGGCCGATGCTCTAACCACTGAGCCAAACTGGCCAGGGCAAGCTGCCATTTCTTGATGAAAGAAGCCATGCAGAGAGGCTTGACCTTGGAGCAGAAGGGCATGGAAGGAGCAGTCAAACAGTTGCTTCTCCCACATGGGACAGAACCATGAAGTTCAAAACAGACCCCGGGTGCAACCCCCTTGTACCTGGTGCCAGACTTCCGCCACTAACTTGAACCAACCAAAGGGCCCCAACAAGTGCCTTGCTCTCGAGCAGGCAGGTCCTCGGAGACCAGCAGGCCTCGAAGAGACATCACTTTATCCACACATTACCTGCCTACTTTCTGGAGCCTCTCTCAGGTTCCATCCCTCTGCAAGGTCACAAAAATCCTGCCCCTCGGGTCACACCGTCTGAAAGCAGAAAGCGGGTCCTGTCTCTCTGGACCCCACAGCAAGGCCGCCACTGAACTAGTGTTTACCTTCGTGCCCTCTGCCCCCGGCGAACCCTGTACCGTTTTGGCTGGCCCTATCTTCCCGTGTCTGTTGCCAACTGTAGTTGGGACATCATTACCTGTGCTCCTCAGTATCCTTCAGATAGAGCTGCTGGCTACATTTCGGCTTCATTTTGCTCCAAAGGAGAAGTCCCTGCGCACAGAGTGTGAGGACGGGGTCCTCCGGGATCTTTCATCTCCTGGTTTTGCCTCTGCTGCCTGGACCCAGAGCCTGTGCAGCAAGTGGCTCATCTCAGAGGCCTTGTGGCTTATCTTGGATGGAAGCTCGGTTCAAATTCCGCCTCTGCTGCCTACATAGCTGATGACCTGGGGTGCTCGCACGGCCTCGCTCTCCATTTCTGCTTCGGTTTCCAGTGGCCAGAGCACCAATGACCCCAGGGCTTGGGAGATTAACAAGTCACCTGTGCGAAGGGTCTTCAGCTATTAGAGGCTCACAGCGATTGGCACTGGGAAACCCCGCACATTCTCCTGCCAACAGGCAGGCGGTGTCTTCAACGCGGTTAGCTGAATCTTGTGGCCTGGATAAAATGCTGAAAGAGCCCCTTTTGCATCCAGAATGACTGTGTTTGGAGTCAGCGAGCTGCTGCTCGTGGCCAGCCTTGGAGAACCCCACAAATGCTATGGAAGAGCCACCCCCAGGGAGAAGTTAGCTCTCTGCACCCTCATCCCAGGTGCTACCCTCGTAAACAGTTTAGGACACCGCCTCCGCTCGCCTCCAGACCACTCCCACACCCCTCCGCTCCCTGCTGTAGGCTCAGGATGCAAAGTAGTGCTCTGAAGGTACAGATGTTTCCAGTAACACACAAACTAACTGCAAGCCAATGCCAGGAACTTGACTCGTCCAGGCCCCTCAGGCTTGCCTGGATGGTCAGTGGCAGAGTGGCAACTGGGGGGCTGGTCTCATGCCCCCTAACACTTTGCAGCACCACACCAAGCGGACACAGTTGCTTTGACTGGCTGCCACTCTGTGGTCACAGATACCTGAGAGTTGATGGTCAAGGCTGATTAGCTGGGGGTGTAGGTAAGGCAGGAGGGCCCTGGGAAGGTCCTGCTTTGCGTGACCGTGCTGACACGGACCCTGGCGCCCTGTCTGGCTCCTTCCTCTAGGTGTGCACAGCCTTCCCTGCAGAGGACGCCAAGCACGGACATGTCAAATTACACCACGGCTACACCAACGTGCTGGGCCTGGGGGACTCGAGCACGTGGAGGATGCCTGTCCTCAACCGCTACGTCTACATGTTCCTCGGTCCTCTCTTGATCCCCATCCTGACCCCGCTGGTGGCTGTCGGTGAGTACGCCAGGGCCTGGGCGTGGAGTGCCCTGGCCTTCCCTCTCCTTCCTCCCTCCTCGGCCTGGGGAGGCTGCTTGCGAGGCAGTGAGGAGCCCGCAGTTAAGACTGGACAGAAACTTTCTGAGACAGCCAGGCAGGGTGGAAAGAGCCTCAGAACTGGCCAAGCCTGGCTTAGCCACTTATTGGCTGGTGACCTCAGGTAGGTAACCTAACCTCTCTGAGCCTCAGCTTCTTACCTGCTCCTCAAGGGTGGGGTGAAAGCATGAGGCCACTGATGTCAAAATGCTGTGTGAATGCCTCGTACTATGTTGCATGTTAGAATTCTTTTTTCCTTATTGATTTTAGACAGAGAGGAAGAGAGAGGGAGAGACAGACAGAAACATGGATGAGAACACAGATTGGCCGCCTCCTGCATGCCCCCCACTGGGGATCAGGCCCATACCCCAGGCATGTGCCCTGACAGGGAATGGAACCAGCGACCTCTTGGTGCATAGGTCCACGCTCACTGAGCCACACAGGCCAAGCACATGTTAGAATTCTCAGTATCACGGGAGCAGTATCATATGGTAGAAGGAACGGGGGCTGGGCGCAGGCAGACCTGGACTCAGGCCCCAGGCCGCCAGTTACTGTCAGAGTGACCTTGGTCAAGTTGCCCAATTCTCCATTTCCTCATCCGTGACATGGGAGAATCTACTTGTCAGGGCTGTGTGTGGGTGGCCTCGATCACCTAGTTAGCACTGTTGGGCCACCAGGGAGCCAGCTTAGGGATCTGAACCTGCCCGTCCGTCACCGTATGTCTTGCCCCTTCTGGCAGAGCGTCTGAGTAAGGCGAAGCTCGGGGTCGCTCTGCGGACGCTGGGCCTGATTTCCCTGGGCCTTTATTCTCACTACTGGCTGCTCCTGAACGTGTCTGGCTTCAAGAGCCCGGGCTCGGCCCTGGCCTGCATGCTCAGCACCAGGTCCCTGCTGGCCCACCCGTTTCTCCACGTGAACATCTTCCAGGTGAGGCGCCCCCTCGGCCCCGGGTGCTGGGGGGCTGCGGGGAGCATTCTCCACCCGAGGAAGCATCCCCTCACCTCCCGCCCAGCCTCTGCTCTTCTCTGTGGGTCGTCACAGAGTTTAGGTCTCAGGGGAGGAATCTGCTTCTCCTCACCACTGGTTGCCATTCACACGGGGATGGGAGATGTAAGAAGCTTCTCTGCACAGGGCACTTAGTTAAGCCCTGTGGGGACACGAGTGATTAGCCTCCAGCCCCTGCCCTCGGGGCGCTTCCTGTGGTAACCCCAAGTGAAGGGTCATCACAGAGGCCCCAGGCAGGCCACGAGGCAGGCAGACAGAGGAGCTAGAGACGGAGGTCTTCCCAGAAGGTCAGGGCTCAGGGCCACTTCTGCGGGGACAAATGCCTCCCTGCTCCCGGACCAGTGAAGACCCGATTAGAGCATCCTGCCGGCACCATCCAGCACTCACCACAAGGGCCATGAGAGGCTTAGCGCAGAGTCGCGGCGGCCGGCCGTCTGCCTGCCCCACCAGAACACAGCTCCCGTTCGCTCCACATCCCTTCGATCAGGCAGCGCCGGGCAGAGAGGCATGAGCACAGACCTGACCTTAAACGATGAACAGGGTCTTGACTGGGGGAAACGGAGCAGAGAAGGGTCCCTCCAGGATGAAGCTGAGACATAGTGACAGGAGAGCAAGCGGGTGGTCAAGAGCTTCAGCGGACCCTGGGACCCTGGGGTACCCTGGCCGAGCCCCTCACTGTGCAGATGGGGAGAGGCCCAGACATGGCACAGCCTCCTCACGCCTCCACCAGGTCCGGCCGGAGTATGAGAGGGCAGAAGAACCCACTGACCCCCAAGGGCTGGGTGAGGCCAGCTGGGGTGGGGGGAGAGGGCGGGGGGACAGGAAGGGCTCAGGCCGTGACCCACGTGTCTGCCACAGCACATCGGGCTGCCCATGTTCTCCCGGGACAAGAAGCCCCGGCGGATTCACATGCTGAGCCTGGGTGTGCTCAACCTGCCCCGGCTGCCCGTGCTGGACTGGGCGTTCGGCCACTCCATCATCAGCTGCCACGTGGAGCACCACTTCTTCCCCGGGCTCTCGGACAACATGTGCCTGAAGGTAGGCGAGGGTCGGGCTCCAGGGGCTGTTTGGAAGCAGGGGGTGGGGAACCTTCAGCGTTTGCCTGAACCCTGGTACCCCAACTGGCCTGGTCAGAGGTCCCCCGGAAGGGCAGCCCGGGGTACAAGCAGCACTGTGGGCTTCCGATCAGACACGTGGGTTTCTCATCAGCAGTGCGACCCAACAAGCCCACTGGCCATCTCTGAGCCTCCGCTGCCTCAGCCGTTCTGGGCAGACGAGGGGGAGGCACTGCTTATGTCCACAGGCTGAGAGCACGAAGTGGAGAAAAGGGCCTGAAGTGCTGGGCGCACAGTAGGTGCTGGAAAGGGAGCCATGGTTTGTTTTTTTTTTAATCCTCACCCGAGGACATTTTTCCATTTTTTGTACAGACAGAGTGGGAGGGAGAGAGAGGAAGAGAGAGAGAGGGAAACATCGATGTGAAAGGGACACATCGAGTGGCTGCCACCCGCACGACCAACCAGGGCCAGGGACAAACTGCAACCGAGGTACATGCCCTTAGCGGGAACCGAACCCGGGTCTCTCCGGACCGCAGGTGGACGCTCTAACCACTGAGCCAAACTGGCCAGGGCGGGAGCCATGGTTTGTACCTGCTGTAGCAAGGACTGCCCTGGAATTGGGAGCCCCGGGGGGGATGCTGCGGAGAAGTCTGTCCCCCTGGCCCCTGCCTGCTGGGAGGGGAAGAGCAGGAATTCTCCAAGCCCCCAGCTCCTCCAGAGCATCATGGAATAAGGCAGACAGGAGCTGGGGCTGGGGACAGGAAGGGCCTCCAGGGAATTAGGCCTGCCTGCAGTCTGGGCTCAGCAGCCCCGCCTCCCGCTCACCTTCCGGCAGGTGAAGCCTGTGGTATCCCAGTTCCTCCAGGAGAAGCAGCTGCCTTACAACGAAGACACCTACCTCGCTCGCTTCCGGCTGTTTCTCAACCGCTATGAGGAGTTCATGGTGCAGGCCCCTCCCATCACTGAGCTGGTGGGGCTGCAATGAGGGTGGGTTGGTACACTCATCCTGCTCCCCTTCCTGGGACCAACCCTGACTCTTCTTCTGCTCGCCATTCCTGAGGCCGGGAGCACACAGGTCTTGCTCAGTGGGTGTGGGTGGGTGGCTGGCAGTGGATGGCTCATGGAGGCGCTGGTGGGCAGGGAGGCAGGGAGCTCGTGCTGGGGACTCTGGGGAGTCATGTGCCCTGCTTACTTTCCTGGGTTTTGAGGGATACCTGGAGGAAAGGAATAAAGGTAGCTGAGCAGTCTGGGCATTCTGGCCAACTTCATCTCAGGACTAAACGGCTGGATTCCTCCCCCACTCTGCCTGAGCCTGGGTAGGGCTAAGGGAGGGTGACTGGGTGAGCAGAGGCCTGTGCAGGAGGTGGGCTAGGAGGGGGTGTGGAGAGAGCAGGGTCAGCCCTTAGCTAGGGCCTCCCTGGTGCATACTCAGTCGGCCACTGTTTCTTCAGTGCCCCAAGAGCCTCTGTCCCCTAAGGAGCCCTCTCCCCAGGGATCACAGGGGAGGTTGCTTTCAGCAGATCTTCCTAGTTTCCCAGCCGGAGAAGCCTGTGCAAGACACTGGCTCAGCAATTCCCAAGAGCCACAGCATCAGTGAGATCAAAGTGTACATGTTTCACAGAGAATATTCCAGGTTCTGGAAGTAAGGGGAGAAAGAGTACACATTGCTTTGAGCATGGTCTTGGCTAGCTCCAGAAAAAGTCTGCTTTGCTCCATGATACTTAGAAGGAGTGGACCTGGGAGAATGATCCTTTGAGAGAGAAAAATTACTGGGAAGGTAATTGAGGCTGGAGGGGATGATGGGCACAGAGTCTGGAGGAGAGATGGCTTTAGAGGAAAGGAAGGAGAAAGAGGGTGGGGTGCAGAGACAGGGGCTGGAGAAAGAGGGTGGGGTGCAGAGACAGGGGCTGGAGAAAGAGGGTGGGGTGCAGAGACAGGGGCTGGAGAAAGAGGGTGGGGTGCAGAGACAGGGCTGGAGAAAGAGGGTGGGGTGCAGAGACAGGGGCTGGAGAAAGAGGGTGGGGTGCAGAGACAGGGGCTGGAGAAAGAGGGTGGGGTGCAGAGACAGGGGCTGGAGAAAGAGGGTGGGGTGCAGAGACAGGGGCTGGAGAAAGAGGGTGGGGTGCAGAGACAGGGGCTGGAGAAAGAGGGTGGGGCTGCAGGGACAGGGGCTGGAGAAAGAGGGTGGGGTGCAGAGACAGGGGCTGGAGAAAGAGGGTGGGGTGCAGAGACAGGGGCTGGAGAAAGAGGGTGGGGTGCAGGGACAGGGGCTGGAGAAAGAGGGTGGGGTGCAGAAATGGGCTGGAGAAAGAGGGTGGGGTGCAGGGACAGGGGCTGGAGAAAGAGGGTGGGGTGCAGAGACAAGGGCAGGAAGTCAAGGTCGGGCTGGGCTGGGAAAGTGTCCTCTGCAGCCTGGGAGGGAGACAGGAATGTAAGGCAACTGCTGACGCCAGAGGAAGAGGTCCAGGTGCTACGGGACCACTGAGTCAGCCTACAGTGGGCGCACTGGAGGGAGGGCTGGGAGCTGCCCTGGCTGGGCTGGAAGGGGAAGTGCAAGGAAGGGCCCAGCTGGAGGCGAGGGAGGGACAGAGGAGGAGGCCAGAGCAGTAAGTTTAAAACGGATTCTTACCTTGACACTGTGACATTTTGGCCAGGTACTTTTTTATTGATGGGGCCTGTCCCAAGCATTGTAGGATGTTCAGCAGCATCCCTAGTTTCTACCCAAGACGTGCCAGGGGTCCAAGTGGTGACAATCAAAAATCTCTGAAGACACTGATGAATGTCCCCTTGGGGGCAAAATCATCCCTGGCTGAGGACATGCAAATCACGTTGTGTGCATCATGCCTTGGTTTCCAGGGAAGCCCTTGGACGGTGGGCGACATGCTGACCCTGATGATGACAGGCTAAACGTCAGCGAATGGAACTGGGCAGAGGGGTCAGAGGGCAGGCGAAAGGCATCTCTAAGCCGGATCCTACTGGAGAGCCCAGCTCTGGTGTGGCCTTACGTGGCTCTGCTGGGTAGCTGCCACTTGCCCCTCCCCATCCTTCCCCCACTCCTCTCCCCCTGCCTTTCTCTGCTGAAGGCCACGGCTCCTGGTGTACCCTCTCCTGCAGTGACAATGCTCACTGCTCTGAAACAGCCTCTTCCTTTGCTCCTTCAAGGCCTGGGGTGCTAGGGGCTTCCAGCTGTTGGTAGCCCAGGGGTGCTTCCCCAGTCCCTTAATCCTGCTCACACCTCTGCACAAAGTTCCTTCGTTCAACTCTCTGCCATCAGCTCTTCAAGCTGCCATCCGCTTCCTGCCAGAAGCCTGGCTGGCTGAGCGGTTTTGGAACCAAGCAGCCTTCTTGGAACGAGGCGGGCTTGGCAGCCTCCCAGCCTACTGCCTTGCTATACCTTCCTGCTGCTCTTTATTTCATTTATCTTTTTTTACAGCCTCACCCGAGAATATTTTCCTATTTATCTTCAGGTAGAGAGAGAGTGAGAGACGGAGAGAGAAACATTGATGTGAGAGGGACACATTGACTGGTTGCCTCCCGCATGACCCCAACCAGGGCCAGAGATCAAACTGCAACCGAGGTACGAGCCCCTGACGGGAATAGAACCCAAGACTCTTTGGTCCATGGGCCGATGCTCTAACTGCTGAGCCAAACCAGCCAGGGCTACTGCTGCTCTTTTGAAATGCATTAGGAGCTCAGAAACGGCCTTAAGGTCAAGGAGTGCGACTAATACAACTGCCAAATCTCCACATGAAAAATGCAATGTCAGAAAAGGCCCCACTGCATAGTCCTGGCTAATGATTAAAACCATCCTAATATATAACCAATGGCTCGCTGTTATTGATCTGGGCCTGAGTGGGGAGAGGGCAGCAGCTGGAGGCCCTGGTACCAGACCGGGCTGTACCACAGGCACCTGGAAACAAGCCATTTGATCATGTTGAGACTTGATTTTCTGTGACTCTGAGAATGTGGACTGTGATGGAGCCATAGGGTTGGGAGGGGAGGGGCGGTGACAGGAGGGAATGAAGCCCTTCTAGGGCTCTGCAGTGACCTACGACCTCATTTACACAGGCGTATCAGAGGTGACAATACTGATGAGGATGATGATGGCTAACATCTATTCAAAACTTATGGCACGGTTTTTATCTATTCCATTTTTTCTTTTTTTATCCTCACCCGAGGACATATTTGCATTCATCTTCAGATAGAGCAAGAGGAAGAGAGGGAGGAAGAGAGAGAGAGAAGCATCGATGTGAGAGATCGATGTTACCACCCACATGACCCCAACCGGGGCCAGGGACAAACTGCAACCAAGGCACATGCCCTTAGCAGGAACCGAACCTGGGACTCTCTAGCCCACGGGCCGATGCTCTAACTGCTAAGCCAAACTAGCCAGGACTATTCCATTTCATTTTAATCTTAAAAAGAACTTGGCACTATTTTTCCTCACATTACATGTTGTGAAGGTAAGCCCTGGAGGGATTAAATTTCTCAATGTCATACAGCTAGTAAGTGGGGGAAGAAGGATTTGAACCCAGTGTGTCCAAGTCCAGAATCTTTGCTCTTAACCACCAAACATAGTGCCTCTGGGAGGGGAGCCCTATAGGGCTTTCTGGGATATCTGATCCTGAATCTGCTCTTCCTCCCATGTGGAAGGATGATAAATGATTTGATCATTAAGATAAACTCTTTTTTAAAAAACATGTTATTTATTTATTTATTTATTTTTAGAGAGAGAGATAGAAACATTGATTGGCTTCCTGCTGCACGCCCCCTACTGGGGATCAAGCCCGCAACTGAGGCATGTGCCCTGACTGGGAATCGAACCGGGACCTTTCAGTCCTTAGGACAATGCTCAATCCACTGAGTCACACCGGCCTGGCAAGACAAACTCTTTATGAACATCCTTTATGTGGCAGGCACTGTACAAAGCTCTGGGGATATAAGATTGAATGAGATTGGGCCCCAACCTCCTGGAGCTTATGGTCTAGTGCAAGAGGTAACAAACCTCATGAAAAGGGCCAGGTAGTAAATATCTTGGGCTTTGTGGACAATGCGGTTTCTGTCACAAATACGCAAAGCATTTTGTGCCATCAAAGTGCAAAACAGCTATAGACATATGTAAGGAAATGAGCATGACTGTGTTCCAATAAAATTTGTTTTGAATTTGTGTAACTTCCACATGTCACAAAGTATTACTCTTTATATTTAAAAAACCATTAGCTAGTGGGTAGTACAGAAATAGGTACTGGGTAGGATTTAGCCTGCAAGCCATAGTCTGCCCACTTCTGGTCCAGTGAGAAAGGCATAAAACAAAGTGACTTATTAGGAATTGGAATGTTAGGAGGGAGGGGAAGCGATGAGAAAGGGCACAAAGGGCTCCCGGGGTGCTGGCCAGATTCGACTTCGTGATCTGGGTGGTAGTTACATGATTACATCTAGTTTGTGATAATTCATCAAATAGTACACTTCTGATTTGTGCGCTTTTCTGTCTGTTATACTTCAATTAAGTATAATATGGCAGTTTAATAAGTAATACTGGGGTAGAGTGTTGGAGGACAACAAGGAGTCCTAAACCAGCTTGGGAGAGGATGGGTCAAGGAAGGCTTTTCCATGGAAGCATTTGACAAGAGGGTCCTTGGGAGAAAAGGAAGCTGAAGCTGGCACTACACTTCCTGGGATCCTGTCATTTAAAAATATACTTTGTGGCCCTGGCCAGTTTGGCTCAGCGGTTAGAGTGTTGGCCTGCGGTCCAGAGAGACCCAGGCTCGGTTCCCGCTAAGGGCATGTACCTTGGTTGCAGTTTGTTGCTGGCCCTGGTTGGGTTGTGCGGGTGGCAGCCACTCGATGTGTCCCTTTCACGTCGATGTTTCTCTCTCTCTCTTCCTCTGTATCTGAACAAAAAAATGGAACAATGTCCTCAGGTGAGAATAAAATATATACACACACACACACACACACACTTTGTGTCTGGCCAGTGTGGCTCTG